TACTATTTATAGAAAAGAAAAAAAGAAGCAACATTATGATGATGCAACAATGGTTGAAGTCTGGCTGCAAGTGCAGGTCCATTTATGTTTACATATACAATGCATTTTTGCACCTTGTCTAAAAGAGCAACATTCGAAGATCTGCTCCAGATATGGCAACATTATTCCATACAAGTACAAATATGAGATTTATAGAGATAAAGAATAGAATCTGAAGTAAGAAAGTGTCGAGCACGATAAAGAAATGCAACCTCAGCAGATACTAATTTTGAAATAGATATGATATATGGTTTACAAGAAAGATCAGGAGTAAGAGTTAATTCTATAAAGATAAAAGGTAGATGACACATTGAGTACATTATTGTTCATAATTATAGAAAGATTTAGATTATTGTGATAAAAATTAGATAAAAAAAGTTTTATATGAGTTCACCAGCCACTGCGAGCCCCATACTGTACCAAAAGTGAAATCCTTTTCAAGCTTAAAAGTCCCCTCCAAGAAATCAGAATGTTTCTTATCGAGAAAATAATAAATCATGGGTATACTTGCAAAAACTTAAGTCAAAATTTGCTGTTTTGACTCAATGATGCAGTATTGTAAAGATTACAACACTCTACAAACTGGCAAAATACATTATATAGAACATTCGACTATATTTTATATTGACGATATAACATAGTCAAATGAAACATTATCTTCTCTCTGGTTATAAAAATACATTTAACATTAACTCATAAAATGGATATTTTATTTAGGCTAAAAGCTTTAAATTACTAATATTACTTAATAGAGTAATGGTGAACATTTTAGTACTGGAAAAAAATACTAAACCACTTTAGTGTTACCTGTCTATGGATGCACCCTCTAACTTATTTCTGGCAAAAAAAACTCTACTTATTATCATTGCAAACATTTCATTGCAAACATTTCATGCAATTTTGAAAACGTTTGTTGTGTGCAGTGCATCATTTGACAGCTCAAATCTTCATGCGAGATTCATAATATGAATTAATCAAAACTATATTATAATCTTATTTATATATAATTATTATATCTATATATAATTATTCAAAACTATATTATAGTTTTCTGCATTTTTACTAGTTAAAAGGTTAATTGATAAACAAAATTTTTAAATCAAGTGATATGAACCAGAGGAAAAAAATTGAGTATTTGAGTGAACAGCAAAACATTGCTGTCTGAAAATGAAAAGTAAAAAGATAAACTCAAATAAAGCTAAAAATTGATTCTTGTCTATTATTCTGCTTAGTTTTTGTTTATTTTCTTTTTGTCATATGAAATGTTTTCATACCAGTGATTAAATATAAGTATTTAACTTAAGTTTTTTTTACATCTTCTAGATGAAGTTCCTCGCTTACAAGATGCTGCCAACAAAAACATTAAAATTTAAAGGGATCCTGTTTGCAATGAGGAGATGTAGGTTTCTGAAGATGGTAAATGTAATCAAATAAACTTCTTGACCACTTCATCGTATTATGAAACTGACATTTGTTTCTTTATGATGTGTTGTCTGCTTTGAACTGAATATTGAATATAATATAACAATGAATATAGTATAACAATTAGTCAAGTAAACAGGGTTCCAATTGTGATTGGCAAATGGTGTTGCAAAATGTTATAGATAAATTAAACCACCTAATTATGAAATTAGGCCATTAAAATTTTTATAATCTATTTTCTTACTTAAACTAAATATTACCAAACAATGCTATAGTTTTCATTATTATATTGCACATGATGTAGCCTCTCAGACTGATGGGGTGGAAAACGATGGGGGCAATCAAAAATTATTTTAATTATCATGAACAATAAAAAAAAAAATTTTTCTTGTACACTATATTTTCTTTAAACCAAAAGTTGATGTGACAACATTATAATTTTATTATTTTCTTTTACAAATGATGTAGCCTCTCTGCATGACGTTGGAGGCACAGCATGACATTAGCAATGACACAGTGAACAGTAATGTTGTTGATGAACAGGTGGCTTCACAAGATATTGTTAAAGGTAAACATTTAAAATGCAATTAAACAATGATCATTTATGATTCATTTACTCCTCTAAATAATAGTTTAATACGCTTTTTCCTTTTTAGATATAATACAGTTTAGTACAAATTTATTTTTTTTTTCTTTTCTGGCATTTCAATTGAAATGTTATTATGTTTGCATTTAATTATAAATTACATATAAAATACTTTAAAAAAAGAGTGACTGAAGTGAAATTGAAGTGGTAAATGTGATTGAAGACAACATTGCCAAATTTGTCTATTGGAGAAATTGAAACGCTGCCTGATGAAGCAGTTACAATCATTCCAGATAATACTTTTAATTGACCAAATGCACCTGTGAAACTATGCACACATTGGAAGAAATACAAACCTGGACATTATAAAAAATATACAAAAGGAAAATAAGAATCAATGTTTTCCATATGAAAATAGAAAAGATGTTGCAAGACCTGCAATAATACCAAAAGTAATTTACTGGTCTGTATGTAAACTCAAATATATCAGAAAAAATACTGTTATTTTAAATGCATTTAATAATTCGGACAACCAGGAGGGCTTCACGGGAAACATGATGGACTACAGAAGTCCTTCAAACAAAACAAAGAAAGAAGACAAAACTTGTAAAATAAAATGCTATTACACAAGATCTGCATCCAAGCGCCAATATTTGGATAGCAGTTTCTCAATTAAAAAATCTACATACAGTACCGAGAGCAACCTAAGATGTGAGATTTCTGGGAGATCGTTAATGTAAATTTAAAAAAGAATAGGGCCAAGGAGTATGAAAATTTTTTCTTATGAAGAAGGCCAGCATACCAAACTTTATTAAAGGCTTTAGAAATATCGAGAGTGATAACCTTAACCTCTCCACATCTATCTAATGCACACAAAAAAGTTATCATTTATTACTGTTAACAGATCAGCAGTAGAACAAGAAGATCAAAATCCATATTGATGATCAGAAAATAAGTTATCAGATTCAAGATGAGATACTAAGTGTTTGTAAATTAAAAACTTAAAAACCTTGTTTATGATAGGAAGAAGACTAATGAGACAGTAGTTAGATGAGTCAGATCGCTCTCCAGAGTTTTTGAAAATTAGGGATAACATATGCCACTTTTCAGCAGGCTGGAATACAAAACTCCCATATATACAAGATGGGCACTTGTTTAATAGTTTTGAAAATATAGACGACAGCTCCTGAAAACACTTCTTCTAGACTATAACAGGTATGTTGTCTGGACCAGAAGCTGTAGAAGAGCCCAAGTAGGAAATCACTTTAAATACAGAGGCTGGAGTGATATGAATGTCAAGCAATGAAGTAACCTGTTTATTGGCTATATGATAGATTAGTAGAATCAGGAGATGAGATTGATGAAAAGCTCTTAGCAAACAATTCAGCTTTGTCTTTAGGTGAGGTAACAAAATCTGAACCTAAAACAAAAACTAGATACAGAAGCAATGGTTACAATTGGAAATTGCAACAGCACAATGAGAAGAAAACCATGCAGAAGAGTGAATCATGGAATTGTGGAGAGGGAATAAAAGACTCCATGCTAGCCTGAAGCCAAGAAGTTATAAAAGAAGCATATTTGTCAGCAGTAAGATGAAAGATTTCTACCTAAGGGCAACCACAAACAAAATCACAGAAGGAGTCCCAGTCAGCTTTAAGGTAGTTGTAAGAGGTATAATGATAGGAGGATTTTGATGATAAAGAATGAGATAATAGTTTTAGAGAGATCAAACAGTGATCAGAAGCACCTAAGGTGAATATGGACAAACTGAGCACTGACTAGGGTCAGAAATAAGACATAAGTCAAGTAGAGAAGATTGTCTGGATTGTCTGGAAAACGAGTAGGAAAATTGACTATTTATGCTAAAGATTGAGTAAAGCAAAAGTTGTGGGCCTTAACACCAGCAGGGTCACTGATACTAGAGCCAAATCATTCAGTGTGATGAGCATTAAAGTTACCAACAACAAAAATATTGGCTGAAGGATAAAGAGAAAGGGCTTGATCAATTTGATCGGAAATAACATCGAAAAGAGTGCAGTCTTAAGATGAAGGAGAGTGATATAGAACAAAGAGAAAGGTGATAGAGTGAAGTGTTGATAAACAAAAAACACATAAAAGAATAGTGTTTTGATTCAAACCAATCCAAACAAATGGGTGAGTTCTTACGAATATAAATGCCCAGGCCAAGCATCTGACTATTGGAGTCTTTATGAATTAAAGGAAGATTACAAGATGAGAGAGCTGAGACAACTCAGATTAGTCTCACAAAGAGCAGATAGACTTAATGATCTTTGCAAGAGATATGATTCAATAGAAGAAAAGTTACTTCGAAGACCACCATTATTAGTGAATGATAGAATTAGAGAAATGAAGTGTTCCAATTAAGGTGCAAGTGTTCCAATGAAGCAAGTTTTCTAATTAAGGCAACTTTTCCCTATAACAAAATCATGAATCCCTCTCTCCCCTATAACAAAATCATCACCCATCAAGGGGACTACATTTGAGGGATTTTTTCTTAAAAATCCCTCAAATGTAGCCGCCTTAAAATTTTTTAATTTGCCGATCAGTAGTAAATCTAGAAAACAAACTTGTTTCTGAACTTTTTTGAGTGATTTTTAACTGTCTTTATATACTTATAATGCGAGCACTTATTTTAATCAGACTGCATGAACAAAAACACAAAAATCTCCTTGTTGTCACTGGCCTGTGGCCATAAATCAAATTTTGTGCTGAATTTAGTGGTTTTTCCATAGCTTTTAGACATAAGTAATAAAAATGAAACACTTGAAAACTGAGAACAAAAATTGTAAGAATGTAATTAGTATCAGGGAGAATTTTGCAGTAGTTTATTAAACAATGACACAGGATTTAGTACACCAAGCATAAACTTTTAATAAATAAGACTGAACTTCTCAATAATTAAAAAAAAGTGAACAAAAAAAAAGTTATTTACCCGATCCCAATAAAGATAATCTTTAATTTTTTCATCAAGTTTTGAGTTACCAGATTTTATAGAACTCATCAAACTTTCATCTGCAAATGTAGTTGCTCGCGGATCCATTTTGTTTTCTTCTATTTTTTATGAATAAAATCAAATATATCAAATTTAAGCTAATCCTAACAGTTATAGTATAAAGGTTAGTGATTTCTATAGCCATACTGTCACTGACAATGTCACTGGCAGTATTACTGTATGTCGAGTTTGAATCTACTAAAATAACAAATATTAGTTTTGCCAAATATATATTTTTATATAAACAAATGGAATTTATCGGAGTTTAAAGCTATTAATTTTGAAAGTTTGCATATTTTTCAATTAATTTTGAAAATTTTAATTAATTTCGAAAGTTTGCAGTAAATAACTGAGTTTTGCACAAAAATTTGCTTAAAAACTCGTCATGCGCTAGTTTAAATTTCCATTTTAGCTTTTTTATTTACAATTGGCGCAAATCTCTTTCACTTTTAAAATGCTATCATAGGTAGATGATAAAATCCAAAACCTATTCGACGTTCAAAATTATTATTATTATTATTTTTTTATTTATTTATTTTAGATTTATTAAACACCCACTATACAAGAAGGTAAATTAACAGTTTCATACATGTATTAATACATGTATCTTGTCCAAGGCCGGCGCAATGGGGGGGTGTGACACCCCCCCCCCATCAATGATTTTTAGTCGGCAAATCGGACCTATTTAGACTAGTTAGTCGGCAAATGTTGACCCTTTCGATATAGGTTAGACAGTAGACACCAGTAATTTTTAACTTTTTTTCGAAATTGCAATTACTTCAAGCTGGAGTACCTTCTTTAGACCATAAAAACATTATGGGCAAAATATAAAAGCTTCAAGTATTTCCGATTCTATCTTATTTGGTCTTATATTTATCATATATTATCATTGAAAAGTAAAAAAAAAAAAGAGGTCACACAATAAATATTTGAAACGTTAACGCACAAAAACTTTTATAAATGTATTCTTTATAAGGATAAGTTGTATAAATAATTTTAACTTAAATTTTTAAGGTTGTTTTTAGGGTATTGGAAAAATAACTAAAACAATAAGCGGTTTTCAATAATCATTAGCCATTAACTGAAAAACGGATTTAAACATAAACAACAATGTTATGTTGTTGCAGCACTTTTTATTAGGATTTACTCTAATATACAGAAGCAAAAGAAGTATTTTTACGGGTGGTGACTCTTCCCCCCCCCCCCCCCACTCACCCAAAAAAAAAAGATTTTATTATGCCCCTTTTGACTAAATATATTATACTTTTACTGCTGAACCAAACTAATAATAATAATAAACAAACATATTACCAAATAGATTAATTTAAAGAAATGATAACAAATTACAATGTATAATCTTTCTTTGTTCTAAAATATTTTCGTTTCTTTTGACTTTGGCATTTAGCTAGAATATAAGCATTTCTTTTCTTGAGGTTAATAAATTTTCCGCTAGCATCAGAAGTCATTTTCACTGCTCTTTCGACCGTTTGCGAGTGGCACGGAAAGTTGGGAGCCTTTCCCTGATTCGGTATCATATTCAAAAGCTCCTCATTTGATATATCTTCCACACAAGGGGGCTCAAAACAGTCTATATCATACAGATTTATTAATTTTGACCAGTTTTTACATCTACAATCAATAATTGGAATGGCATTAACCCTAATACCATCTTTTAATCCATTTTTAGGATCCTTAATTAGAGTTTTTTTTGTTTCCAAAATCTTAACAACAGCAATTGTTCTATAAACCTGTTCTTCAGAATAAAGTAGAGCAGCAATAAAATTTTCAGGTTGGAGACAAAAAGAGTTTCTATAAATTATGGGCAATGTAATATTTTGAACTTCAGTATCCAACCTCAAAATCCGCTGAATAAATTGGAAAATAAGTTTAGGACCCTCTGTGAAACTCTTAGACTTTTTAATATTAAACCACATAGGAGTATATACTGTTTGAATATATTCAACAAAGATTTTGAGCTCTCTACTGGGATTGATTGTTCTTGTGTATAGTGCCAAGATCCGTACTGCTGTTGTCAGCCACCTTGCATGACAAATAGGGCCTAAAAATATAATCTTTTATATATAAAAATTAATTAATAGTATAATTTAATAGTAAATTATATATTAATAAATATATATTTACATAAACTTCAAACAAACAAAATAAAAGGAAAAATATTAGGAACAAATGATTTACAAAACAACACACCTATTTTTTTTCTCAGATACTTATTGTCTGAAAACCCTCTAGAAATTCCAATACTATATTCCAGTAGCATTCTCTGGTCAGCAGAGAGGTCTTTAATGACACACAGAGGAGGATATTCAATGTCTGTCTCAACTTGTATGAAGTCAACAGTTAAATTTAAATGAATTGGATTTGTCAAAGAATTAAGATTTATCTAATAGACAGTCGGCAAATGTCGTAATGGCAGTCGGCAAATTTTGGAAAACGAGGACTTTTTTTTTTTTTTTTTAAGTCGGCAAAAGTTGTAATGGCACCCCCCCCCCACGTGACACCTACTCGCGCCGGCCCTGATCTTGTCATGTTTCATACATGTATCTTGTATACAGTGGCGGATTGAGGTTTAGTGTCGCGGGGGGGCCAAGTCAATGAATAGGGGCGACCGGGGTCTTCAGTAATTTGATATTATAATTTTTTTTTATTATTATTGTTTTAGGGGGCGCCGTTAGATCGTTTTAGGAAGGCGTGGGGAAAAAAAAACTTATGCTCAAGCAGATGGTGCTAATTATTAAACCTCAAAAACATCTTCGCTTCCAACAAGGCTGCAAGCAACCACTAATTAGTGCTGGAAGTTACTGGAAGAGAAAAGATGAAAATCGCAGAGCAAGAAAACGATTGACAGACAACTTAAAAGATTACAAATTATATAAATCAGGAAAGCAAGATGAAGGAAACGAATTCCAAAGAACTGATGTTCGAGGAAAAAAACTAGACGAATAAGAGTTTTTGGAGCATTTAGTAACAGTAACAGAAAAAGGATGATACTTAATTGAATGACGAGTAACACAAAAATGAATTTTAGTAGATGGCACAAGAGACTCTTTAGAGCAGTGCTCGTTATAATATTTACTAGTAACACAAAAATAATATTACGAGTAACACAAAAATGAATTTTAGTAGATAGCACAAGAAGCTCTTTAGAGCAGTGCCCGTTATAATATTTGTAGAAAAGAGAAAAAGACGCAACATTACGACGGTGTGATAATGGTTAGAGGTTGGCTGCAAGTGTAGGTCCAACTATGTTTACCATGCGTTTTTGCAACTTGTCTAAAAGAGAAAGGACATCATTAGAAGATCCACCTCAGATACGGCAACAGTATTCCATACAAGGCTCGATTAGAGATTTTTTATAGAGATAAAGAATAGAATCCGGAGTAAGAAAGTGTCAAGCTCGATAAAGAGATGCAACCTTAGCAGATGCTAATTTTGCAACGGATTTGATATATGGTTTTCAATAAAGATCAGGAGTAAGAGTTAATCCTAAAAGATGAAGGGTAGATGACTCATCGAGTAAATTACCCTTCATAAATATAGGAAGGTCTAAATTATTGAGATAACGATTGGCTGAAAAAAGTTGAGTTTTATCTAAATTAAAGTTCACCAGCCACTGTGAGCTTCATGCTGTAGCAGAAGTGAGATCCTTTTCAAGCTCAAATGCCCGGTCCAATCAATCAGAGAGAGTTAGCTTCTTATCATGACAATAATAAACGGTAGTATCATCAGCGAAAAATGCCAACTTAGATGTGAGAATATCTGCTAGATCGTTAATGTAAATTAAAAAGAGTATAGGGCCAAGGATTGAATCTTGAGAAACCCTTGAGGTTACAGAATAAGAAGAAGAGTGCTGTCCATCAAAAACAACCTTTATACTACGATTGGAAAGGAAGGATTCAATAATCTTAAAGATGTTACCAGATACACCTTAAGAAAAATGCTTATGGAGAAGACCAACTTGCCAAACTTTATCAAACGCTTTAGAAAAGTCAAGAACGATGGCCTAAATTTCTCCACCTTTATCTAATGCACGATAAAACCTATCGGCTATTACTATTAGCAAATTAGCCGTAGATCGAGAAGGTTGAAATCCATATTGATGATCAGAAAGAAGTTATTAGTTTCAAGATGAGAGATTAAGTTTTGATAACTGAAGATTCAAAAACCTTGCTTATGATAGGAAGAAAACTAATGGGGAGGTAGTTAGACAAATCAAATTGCTCTCCAGAATTTTTTAAAATAGGGATAACAAATGCTGCTTTCCAGCAGGCTAGAAAACAATACTATGATAAGTACTTGTTGAATAGTTTTGAGAGGATAAAAGACAGCTCCAGAGAACACTTCTGCAAGACTATAACAAGTATGTTGTCCGGGTCACAAGTTGTTGAAGAGTCTAAGCAGGAAATCACTTTAGATACAGAAGCTGGAGTGATACGGATGTCAAGCAATGGATCAACCTTTTTGAAGTCTATATCAGGTAGAACGCAACTAGTGGAATCCAGAGATGATATTAATGAAAAGTTCTTAGCAAACAATTCATATTTGTCTTTAGGTGAGGTGACAAAGTCTGAACCATACAAAAGAGGTGGAATTACAGACTTACCTTTATTATTGATACTCTTAAAGGTTCTCCAGATGTCACGAGAGCCTAAATTTTGTGAAGAAATACGAGATTTCATGATCTGAGAATAGCGGGCTTTGGCGTTAGACAAAATCTTTTTACAATGGTTCCTAGCAGCAATGAACAGACGTCTTTTTTCTGGAGAATTGTTTTATTAATAGAAATGGAAGTAATGGTTGCGATTGGTAATTGCAACAGCACAATATGAATAAAACCATGGAGAAGAGTGAGGCTTGACCTGGAATTGTCAAGAGGGAATACAGGATTCCATGCCAGTCTGAATCCACGAAGTTATGTAAGAACCACATTTGTCAACAGGAAGACGAAAGATTTCTACCCAAGGGCAATCACGAAGAAAATTACGGAAAGAGCCCCATTCAGTTTTAAGGTATTTGTAAGATGTTCAATGATAAGGGGGTTCTGATGATAAAGAAGAATGAGAAAATAGTCTTAGAGAGATCAAACTGTGATCAGAGGCACCTAAG